AGTTAATGGGCTGTGATCCTTTTTTTTTTTTTTGCATGTGGATGTCCAGTTGTTTCAACACCATTTGTTGAAGAGACCATCTTTGCTCCATTGTGTTACCTCTGCTCCTTTGTCAAAGATCAGTTGGCCATATTTATGTAGTTCTATTTGGGGACTCTGTTTTCTGTTCTGTTAATCTTTTTGTCTATTTTTTCACCAATACCACACTGTCTTGATTACTGTAGCTTTATAGTAAGTCTTGAAGTCTAGTAGTATCAGTCTTCCAACTTTGTTCTTCTTCAATGTTTTATGGATTATTCTGGGTCTTTTGCCTCTACAAATAAATTTTAAGATTGGTATGTCAGTACCCACAAAATAACTTGCTGGGATTTTCATTGAAATTGCATTGACTCTATAGATTAAGTTGGGAAGAACTAACATCTTGACAATATTCTTCCTATCCATCAGTGTGAAATATCTCCATTTATTTAGTTCTTCTTTGAATTCATTCATCAGAGATTTGTGCTTTTCCCCATATAAATCTGTATGTACACATTTTGCTAGATTTTTATGTTTTAAGTATTTCATTTTTGGAGCACCAATATAAATGGTATTGTAGTTTTTAATTTCAAATTCCCTTGTCCATTGGTAGTATATAGGAAAACCATTAACTTTTATGTATTAACTTTGTATCCCACAACCTTGCTGTACTCAGCTATTAGTTCTAGGAGGTTTTTGTTGATTCTTTCAGATTTTCTGCGTAAAAAGTTGTGTCATCTACAAACAAAAACAGTTTTATTTCTTCCTTCCCTATTTGTATAACTTTCTTATTTTTGTCTTAGTGCTTTGCTAGTACTTCCAGTACAATGTTGAAAAGTGATGAAAGGATATATCCTTGCCTTGTCCCAGATCTTAGTGAGAAAGCTTCGAGTTTCTCATCACTAAGTCTAATGTTAGCTGTGGGTTTTTTTGTGTTCTATCAAGTTGAGTAAGTTCCCCTCTATTCCTAGTTTACTGAAGAGTTTTTGTCATGAGTAGGTGTTGGATTTTGTTAAATGTCTTTTTGCATCTGTTAATGTGATCATATAATTTTTCTTCTTTAGCCTATTGATGTGATCAATTACATTAGCTGATTTTTGAATGTTGAACCAGCCTTGCATACCTGGGATAAATCCAACTTGGTTGTTGTGTATAATTTATTTTACATGTTTTGGGATTTGATTTGCTAATATTTTGTTGAGGACTTTGGCATCTGTGTTCATGAGAGGTACTGGTCCTGTAGCTTCCTTTTCTTATGATGTATTCATCTGGTTTTGGTATGAAGGTAATGCTGTCCTTTTTGACTGAATTAGGAGGTATTCCCTCTGCTTCTACACCCTGAAAGAGATTATAGAGAATTGGTAAAACTTCTTCCTTAAATTTTTGGTAGAATTCACCAGTGAACCCTCTGGGCCTGGTACTCTCTGGTTTGGAGGTCATTAATTGTTATTCAGTTTCTTTAGTAGATATAGGCTTATTCAGACTGCTTTTTAATTGGTGCATTTAGACCACTGACGTTCAAAGTTATTATTGATATATTTGGATTAAAATCTACCATATGTGTTCTGTTTTCTACTTATTGCTCTTGTTCTTTGTTCCTATTTTTTCTTCTATTCTTTTTCTGCCTTTTGTAGTTTAGGAGCATTTGATACAACTCCATTTTCTCTCCTTTCTTAATATATCCACTATAATTCTTTTTTTTTTTTTTACTGTTTTTAATGGTGGTCTTAGTGTTTACAATACATATTTACAACTAATCCAAGTCCACTTTTAAAAAACACTATATACCACCTCATGGGTAGTGTAAGTACCTTTTAATAACAAAATAGTTCTAATTTTCCTGTCCCATGAATTGCTGTTATTCATTTCAATTATATATATAAGTGTACATAATTGAACAGATTTTTGCTTTATTATTTTGAACAAACTGTTTCCTGTTAGATCAATTAAGAATAAGAGAATAAAAGTTTTTATTTTTACCTATACTTTTTCCTTCTTCAATACTCTTCTTTATGTAAATCTGAGTTTCTGATTTTCTGTCTCTGTAAAGAATTTCTTTTAAAATTTCTTTCAAGGCAGACCTCCTGGCAACATATTCCTTCAATTTTTGTTTGTCTGAGAAAGTCTCTATTTCTCCCTCAGTTTTGAAGGTTAACTTTGCTGGGTACAGAATTCTAGATTGATGGGTTTTTTCCCTCTCAATACTTTAAAGGTTTCACTTCACTCTCTTCTTGCTTGCATGGTTTTTGAGGAGAAGTCAGATGTAATTCTTATCTTTGTTCATCTATAGGTAAAAAAAAATTTCCCTCTAGCTTCTTTCAGGGTTTTTTCTTTATCTTTGATTTTCTGTCGTTTGAAAATGATATGTTTCAGTTTTTGTTTTTTTCATTTATGCTTCTTGGTGTTTTCTGAGCTTCTTCAATCTGTGGTTTGATGTCTGACATTAATATGAAATTCTTAATCATTGTCATTTCAAATATTTCTTCTGTTCTTCTACCTTCCTTCTCCTTCTGGTATTTCTATTATGTGTATGTTACACTCTTCTGTAGCTGTCCCAAACTGCAAAATATTATTCTGTTTGCTTTTCGGTTTGGGAAGTTTCTGTTGCGATATCCTCAGGCTCAGAGATTCTTTCCTCAGCCATGTTTATCTGCTAAGCTACTAATAAGCCTGTCAAAAGCATTCTTTATTTCTGTTATAACATTTTTTATCTCTAGCATTTCTTTTTGGTTCTTTTTTAGGATTTGCTTATCTGCTTTTATTGCCCTCTGCTCTTCCATGCCGTCTACTTTCTGTTGGAGACCTTAGCAATTAATCATAGTTGTTTTAAATTCCTGATCTGATCATTCCAACATCCTTGCCATGTTTGATTCTGATGCTTTCTCTGTCCCTTCAAGTTGTGTGTTTTGCCTTCTGATATGCTTTGTAATTTTTTTCTTAATAGCTGGACGTGGTGTACAAGGTAAAAGTGACTGTTGTAAACAGGACTTTAGTAATGTGATGAGTGTGAGGGAGGGGAAGCATTCTGTAGTCCCTGGATTCGGTCTCAGTCTCTTAGTGAATGGATGGGAACTTTAAAGGTTTGCTCAGGTTTTTTTCCTTCCCCCTTAGGTGAGAAAGAATGGCTACAGTGGGCTGGAGTTGGATATTTCCCTTCATCTAGGTCAGTTAGGCTCTGATAATATTGCAGCCGGTTAGGCTCTGGTTAGTCTTCCCTGAGGGCAGACCTTGGGAAATAGAACTGAGCCCTCTGGTGTATTTCAAAATGGCTCTTTTGCCTCTGACCCTGCTGGAAGCACAAAGGGATTTGTCTCTAATGTTTACTGTGAGAACCTGGTCAAGCTCCTGGAGGTAATTTCACAAAATTGTGGAGGCCACTCTATAACTGGGTCCACCTGGAGTTTTTAACACTCATACTTGTCCCCACAGAGCTTCCAGCAAAGCGTCCATTATAGTGCAGGTTTTCCTATCCTGGCGTCAATTCCCACCGTGGTTTCCACTCAGGAAACTCTGCTCCAGTGAGCCATGACTTCCTGTGTTCACCTGTCTCGCTAGTCTTCACTTTGGGAATTTTTTTTCAGTCATTTCATCAGTAATTTCTTCCTTCTATTTTCTCTGTTTTCTCTTTCTGGAATTCCTGTTATTTGGCTTTTGGACTTCTTAGATGAAGCCTACTTGCCTCCCATTTCTCTATATTTCTGCTTTACTTTCTAAAGTTAAGGATTCAACTTTATCCTCCATCCCTTCTTCCTTTGCTATCATATTTTTAATTTCAGGAGCATTTTTTTACCCCTGAATGTTCCTTTGTGTATGATGGAGAGAGGGATATATAATGTCCTGTTCTCATTTCATGGCTACAGTATCTTTTCTTAGCAGCTCTCCAACATATTACTCATAATTGGTTTCTTTCTTAAAAAGCATGCTTCTCACTATTTTCTGCAAGTTGCTCTTTCTTTGCATCTCTGTCTTCCAAACTGACGTCCCTCAGCTGTCTGGTGTTCTTTGGCTGACTGCTTATGATTAAGAGCTGGGGACTAATATGCTGCCTGGAAGCTCTGAATATATAGGTCAGGCTTGACAATCCTAAGGCTTTACTGTAGGGGGATCTGGGTAGTTCATTTATGGGGGAAGACTTGTGTTTAAGTCTTTTCTTTGGACTGGCCAAATAAACAAGAACTTTTTTCCTCTCTCCTTCCAAGAGGGTCGAGTACTGGATGTCATTGTTCTGGAACTGAGGGAGGTATTCACTGTGCCTGTCAGTCCATCAACAGCCCCAGTTCCAGAAGAAGCTGACACTGAGTCTTTGGGTTTGGATCTTTGCTAACCCCACACTGGTTTAGGATTGTTCTCTCCTAGGTCTAGAAAGGAAGGGTCATATGGCAGGAAAGTTGAGAACAAGAAGCATTTCTTAGCTTTGACATTTCCAAACTTTAAACTCCAAAGGACCCAGGACATAAAGTTTTTGTCATTGTGCAAGAAAAACTATCTAAAACTTGAAATTAAGGCAAAAATGATGGCTGCATGACCTTCTAAAAAGTCTGTGAAGGATCATCTGACCCACCCAGGAATTGTCCCTTTGGTTGTGACCCAGACATTTTACAACCTTGGTAAATAAGAGATGAACTTTTAGAAAAATGATAAGGTGTGATGATATATTGGGGTGGAGGGCTGGTAAAGAAGTTAACCCCAGAACATGCCTAAAGCACATTAACTTATTTAGTATCTATGCAGTAATATTATGTCAGTCTTCCTTTCCCCACTAACTATATAATCCCCATGTCTCAAATTTCCTTCACACCAGCTCTCGTCTTGCTGCTGGTTCCTTCATTAATGAGTTAATAAAACTTTGGCATGAGTTTGCCATCTGTATGTATGGAAATTATGTTTTTTTTTAACAGTTAGAGAAGTGTGCCATCAATGAAAGAGCTGGAAGAATAGTGCTCAGTGATGATAAATTATTTCTCTTGACATTCCTCCCCCAGATTAGCTTGAAGAGGAGGAGAGAGTCAGAGGGAAGCCAAAGACCTTGGAAACTGGATGGCACTAAGAAGAGGTCTGAGCTACAGAATGTAAGTAATTTACTTTTTACAAAAAGTGGATCATACTGTACTTACTATTGCATATTGCACTCAGTAATATGGCGTGAACATCTCTATAGGCCAACAGATAACTGTTCTAAAATATGATTCTTCATTGCTACGTAGCATTCTACTGCATGAGCTAGTTTAATGATTTCAAAAAACTCTGCACATTTTTCCTTTCAGCTGGTAGGCATAGTCTCAATTATTTTAGTTATTAAGTCTTCAGTTAAAAGAATATCTCCTTATTGGAAAGAATCCTAGACTGGGTGGATCTCAACAAACAACTGTAGTCAAGATCTAATGACCAGAGTCAACAAAACCAAGTTAGCTTCTCTTTCTGACACCCTCTAATGAAGTCAGTCATGTTTAATTCTGGGTGGCCATTCTATGGCCACAGTGATTCAACTCCTTGCAAGGAGAGCTCTGGGAATGGAAGGCAGTGGGCTCAGGGATTCTCCTAATGTATGTCTTAAGTAACAGCAAAACCCAGCTGTTTGCCCACCCCGACCTCTGTGCTCATGCAGCCCGTGGCTGTGAGGTAGGGGTGTGCCTTCTGGCTGCAGGCTGGTGCTGAGCTTCCCTTAGCCTATAAACAGAAAGGAATAAATGAGCCTGCTGGAAGGACGTGGGGAGACTGCCCTGGACTTCTGAAAGAAGGACTCCCTATGAGGACAGAGATATCAGTGTCCAAAGAGCCCTGATCCCACGGTGGTATCTGCAGTGCCCTCGGCAGCCCCTGAAGTTGTGCTTGGGAGCAGGGGGGTCTCAGAGCTGATCAGTTACCTTTGTCTGGCATGCTGGTTTTATCCTCTCCTGTTCCTTTTGGGAGCTTCCATTTACCAGAAATCAAATCTCCTCCAACTGAGAACTATGTTGGGATTGGGCTTTTGTTATTAGTGTGTGTGTGTGTGTGTGTGTGTGTGTGTGTGTGTGTGTGTGTGTGTGTGTGTTTCCTGTAGCTTTGAAATGCACAGTGTGTTTGGATCAAAAAGCAGCATTGGGATCAATGTAAATTTGGTTGAAACCAATTTCTGTTTGTTTTTTTGCTGTTTTGTACATTTTACTCTAAAAAATCAAAGATACTTAGAATCTATTCAACAAGGCCACAAGAAGCTTTTTTAAAGCTTCTTCCTGTGACAGAAACAAAATATAAATTCCTAGTTTCTTTTTATAAGGGAAAAAAATTTCATTTCCTCCCAAGTGTTGAGGAAAAAAAAGTTTACAATATGAATCCAGAGACTAAATCAGTTACAGGCAAAAACGTGACTGTTTCCCTGTTATTTTACTGTTTTAGTGATGTTGTGGTGTATGCAGGGCATATTACCTTCATTAGTTGAAAGGACAAAATTAGAGTCATATGCAGTCTTTCTTGGTAATTCAGTTAATTTCCTGTTTTCTGTCTTTTTGGTGACTTCCGTAGAAAGACTATTTAAAAAGTCTCCCCTTTGAAAATGGCCCAAGGAGCAAAGGAAACTCTATTTGAACGCTCTGTGAGTTGGTGAGAGGAATGCATTTCACGAGGCCTAACCTCTGTTCCCAGCAGTGACAGGACAGGAGGAGCTGAGTGAGAGAGTGGAGGAAGACAGGGTCGTGGGTTTGGGGGATGGAGGTTAGCGCTCATCTGCTTCATAAAAGATGGTGATGATATGTTTTCCATGTCTCAAAGGCTAGAGTTAGTGATGTGAAGTCCAGTTGTCTTAACTGCGTCAGAAAACTAACATTGACTTCAGAAACTAATATGTGATGATGTACATCATTTGCGCACATTAGAAAATTACAATGATCACACCATGAAGGGTGCTCAGATATAAGATAGCTCTTTCCCCTGCTTGAAAAAGAACACCTGGGCCAGCCAGAGAAACAGACTTCAACCCCCTGACCCTCCCTTTGCAGCCCCTAACCTTCCCCACACAGATCCTGTAGACTTGGGGGCAGTTGGCACTGGTTACAGAGGCAGCGGTAGTGAATAAGGCAGCTTCATCCTGAATTCCTGGATACCCGTGCAAGGGATTCCCAGAAGACTCTGGGCTTTCCAGGCTGTAGGACCCACCCATCCACCCTTACTTTCCACTAAGGAAAAAGGAGGAATCCAGGAGCTGCCTGGATTTCACAAAGCAAAAACCCTTGGAGAGGTGAAACTTCCATGATCGTATCGTTAAATGGACTATATCTTGTGAGGGACAGTGGTCTTGTTAAGGTCCGAAGTACTAAAGTTGTTGATTCCAAGGGGACTGTCACCTTTGCTAAGACTAGAACTAGGAAATATATTAACCCTCATCCCTAACCCTCCCCTCACCTCCCCCTTAAAAAAGAACTGGAATACAATTAAAGGGCACGCATCAGAAAATCTGAGTTGGAGAATATGTGATGAAGTTTTACCTTTCATGAAAGAAAATGTTCTGTTTTTTTCTCATTATAAATGCCTCGGTTCCTGCCAAGCCTCTTCTTATCCCAAATGTCTTAGAAGATCTTGGTATAGCTCAGCAGAGGGAGGATGGCACTGACACTGAGTTACAGTGTAATACAACACAGACTCATTGAGTCCAGTTATACTAAGAATACTTCCTGAAACCCCTTCCCCTGACACCGAGTAGCTTTTGATACTGAGTCTTTTTTAAAATTCTCTCATTAAATAAGACAATAGTGTTTCCATTTGGACTGGGCCGCAGGTGCCCTGGGCTGGAAGTGGGAAGTGTGGTCAGCCTTTCTCATGATGGGGCAGATTCTCATGGGCCAGTCCTGACAGCACCAGTTTGGGCATCTGGCTGGTGTTAGGGACTCACAGAGAGGCCTGACCACGTTACTTCCCAAGGGCAGAAGGTCATGAAAGATTTCGAGGGCAGGGACCACCAGTGTTTGCCATGACGCAGGTGGTCAAAAAATGTTAGATGTTGAGATAAGCACCTTAGGATCTGAAATCTCAAGATCTGAATGTTCAGAATGCACTTCATTGGCTATAAAAACTGACCCATCACTTCACGCACTGGCTCAGAGAAGTGTGAGAGCTTGAGTATTCATGGAGAGAGGAGGTCATTTAAGGTAAGTGAAGCTCTGTTCTTTTTCAAACATGCCTGTTTCAAACATAGTGGTTTTCTTTTCTTTTCTTTTTTTAATGGCTTCTATTTCTCCTTGTATTGCACTAATCATTTGAACAGAAGAGCTCCTCTTTGAGGCTTGCCTAGAAGGCTCCATATCACCCCTGCTCTGCACAGACCCCAGACCATGTCTCCCACCCCTAAATCCATGTCTGGGTCCATAGCTCCCTTGGGCCACCTCCACACCAGCTCATGCACTGTTTTTTGTTTTGTTTTGACTTTTTATTGAAGTATAGTTGATTTACAAAGTGTGTTAGTTTCTGGTGTGCAGCATAGTGATTCAGTTATACATATATTTGTATATACATTCTTTTTCCTATACTCTCTATCTCTGGCACCCCCAGAGGGAATTATACTTTTTTTCCTCCAAAATCATTTTTCTTAATGTTTAGACTTTAGTGTGCCTGCAGATGTGTTGTGGGAGGGGGCACATCTGCATCAGCTCAGGGCCTCCTTGTTGCAGAAACTTTCTTCCCTCTCCTTTGCATTGTGGAAATATACTCTATGACAGTCAGAGATCTTGTAAGAGTAATGTCCAATCTTTGAGGAAAAAAGTGTGACAAAATTAATGGAGCTTGCAGTATAACAGAATGAGGTTACATGATCAGCATGTGAACTGTCCCTTCATTCTAGAATTCAAAGGCTATTGCTTCCCTTCCCCACCTTCACCCATTGAGTACTACTACTTACAGGAAGAACTGTTATTTCTTAGAATCATTAGATTTTTATCACTGGGAGGAAAACTCAGCTACTTCAAGGCCAGGCAGGTAACACAGATGAGTGACTCTGGTGAAAGACAACAGGGAGTGGTGCAGACTGTGGTAAAATGGAGCCCTCGAGCGCCATCTAGAGGTAGCCAGTTTCCATTTTGAAAAACTACTGATGTCCAGGCTACATGTAAATCAGTGAAACCAGAACCATATACAAAAATACACTCAAAATAGTTTAAAGAGCTAAATAAAAGACATGATGCCGTGAAACTCCTAGAAGAGAACATAGACAAAACATTCTCTGACATAAATCTTAGCAATATTTTCTTAGATCAGTCTCCCAAGACGAAAGAAAAGCAAAAATAACAAATGGAACCTAATCAAACTTAAAAGCTTTTGCACAGCAAAAATCATTGTGTAGCAGGCAGTGAAATTTAGAATAAGTAATTTGCTCAAGGACATGTAACTACTCAGTGAAAAGTCAAGGTTAGTCTGCTCTTGGGTTTCTAATTCCAAGATTGGAGCCCTTTCCCCTGCCCCATGCAGGCTCTGGTTCTTAAAACATGCTTTTAAAAATAAAGAAGGGCCCACTTACATGTGGCTCAGATTAAATTAATATGGCCAAACCCCTTGTCTCCAGACTTCCTGTAACAACAAATTCTGAATGACATCAGAATATGGACAGTTGTCAACAGCCTAAGCAGACAGGCAGGCCCGGGCTACTTTAATGAAAAGGCTGGAGGACTGTGTCAACGCACAGCTCAGGTTTCCCCATCCCAGCCATGAACCTGAACAACCACAGGAAACCTCACCAGTCACTGAGCAGGTCAGAATCTGCCCTGTCTTACTCAGAGAGGGCTCCAGAAGCCTGGACACCAAGGCATGCCAATCACTAGGGGGCTGGGGGCCAGATTTTCACCTATGAAGCACCCTGAGAAATTCTTTTGGCCCAGCAAATGAAGCCCAGCTGGAATCCCTTCTGACCTGTGGACACCAGCCAGCTCCGCTGTGAGACCTTGGGCAAGGCCAGGATTTGCTTCAGGCCCTTCAGTGGTATTGTGTCTGTCTTGAAGGAGTTTGTGTAGGAAACGTGCAGAGGGTGGTGTGTGGGCAAGAACATGCATTTGAAACCAGACAGACCCATTTGAATACCCTCTCCACTGCTTCATGCAGTCAGTCAACA